AGAGTGTGTGAGAGAGTGTGTGAGTGTATGAGAGAGTGTGTGAGAGAGTGTGTGAGTGTGTGAGTGTGAGTGTGTGTGAGTGTGTGAGAGTGTGAGTGAGTGTGTGAGTGTGTGTGTGAGAGTGTGTGAGTGTGTGAGTGTGTGAGTGTGTGTGAGTGTGTGAGTGTGTGAGTGAGTGTGTGTGAGAGTGTGTGAGAGTGTGTGAGTGTATGAGAGAGTGTGTGAGTGTGAGTGTGTGAGTGTGTGAGTGTGTGAGTGTGAGCGTGAGAGTGTGAGTGTGTGAGCGTGAGAGTGTGTGAGTGTGTGAGTGTGTGGGTGTGAGTGTGAAAGTGAGTGAGTGTGTGTGAGAGTATAAAAGTGTGTGTGAGTGTGTGTGAAAGTGTGAGTGTGTGTGAGTGTATGTGAGTGTGAGAGTGAGTGAGTGTGTGTGAGTGTGTGAGTGTGAGTGTGTGGGTGTGAGTGAGTGAGTGTGTGTGTGAGAGAGAGAGTGTGAGTGTGTGAGAGAGTGTGTGTGAGAATGTGAGCGTGTGTGAGTGTCTGTCTCTGTCTGAGTGTGTGAGTGTGTGAGAGAGCGTGTCTGTGTCTGTGTGTGATGTGCGTTTCTGTGTGTGATGTATGTGTGTGCATACACGTATGCATGTTCATTTGTGTGCAAACACACTGCTTGCTATGAAGACCAGGGAAGAACGGCAGATGTGGGCTCCTGCGCCCGTGTGTGGCTGAGGGTGGCGGGCCTGGGCTGGCAGGAGAGCTGCGTCTGGCTTCACGCGGCCCCACCGAGTGAGTCATCCCCACCCTCACATCTACACTTTGCGTTTGTCTGCAGTGCTTTCCGTACTTTACAACATTTTACTTGCAATGAAATGAATCACGATCCATTTCCGAATCCAGAGCAAGATAGATGTGTGAGAAGACATATAAATTTTTATCAGAATGGTTTCCCACTGACCTAAAAGAACAAGCTACAACCCGAAACGCAAAGCCATCCTCACCAGTGGGAAAAAACTGAAGGGTGTCTGCATTAGGAGAATGTAGAGTTCATATTCTGCTTGCTATAATTTAAAACACCAGTAACATTGGAAACGTTTTGTTTGCATTTAAAAGAGGAGGAATATCTTCTGGGCATTGGGTGTGATGGCACATTTCTGTAATTCAGTACTTCAAAGGTATTAGACAAGGGTTCAGTGCCAACCTGGGCTATAGAGTGGGATCTGTCTCAAAAACAACAACAAACAAAACTGTTTTTAAACGAAACCTCAGTGGTTTGAACAGTGTCTTGTGCTTTCTTCGCACAGAATAACTTATGGTAGATCACACTTTCTTTCTATGTCTCAGGAAATTGTCAGGCTCCTAAGTTTGGATCTGTTAGGACATTTTCCTGAGAGTCCCTTTAATGGCTGCTTTGGCTAGCGGCACCTTCCACTGGGATGTCTGCAGCCTTTTTGTCATAACTAATTTCCTGTAAAATGCCACACAGAGTAGTCACAAAGAGAAAAAGAAGCAGCACACTCACTTACTTTGCTGTCTGGACTCTGCAGTGACCATTCACCGAGAGACTTTTAAAGGGTCTATATAATTGCTCGATGACCATCAGAATTGATATACATCCATTATTTCCATAATGGCTTGTGTAATTATTGGATTAGTTTTTCCACAGCATCCTGAAATCTGAATTGTTCTCATGGACTAGTGTTAATTTCCAGCCCTGCAGTAGCTGAAACTAATATGTAGTGGAACTATGCAAAGTGAAAACTGCTCTGTCTAAAATGATGTTTTCAAGCTGGACATGGTGGCTCACCTCTGTAACCCAACGTTTGGGAGACTGGGGTGGGAGAAATAATGTGAATTCCAGGTCAACTTAGACTACATAACGAGTTCCAGCCTAGCCTGGACTACAAAGTGAGACTTGCCTCAGATAGATAGATGATAGATAGATAGATGACAGATAGATAGATGATTGATAGATAGATGACAGATAGATAGATGATAGATGATTGATAGATAGATGATAGATTGGTAGATGATAGATAGATAGATAATAGATAGATAGACGATATGATAGATAGAGGATAGATAGATAGATAGATAGATAGATGATAGATGATAGATGATAGAAGATAGATAGATAGATAGATGATAGATAGATAGGAGAATAAAGTGATGTTTTCATGTATATGAAGGAAAATAGACATATGGGGTGGTAAATAACCCTTTTGCGTGCCCATTTTTTCTCTGTCAATATGTGTGTCACCTTCAGAGTATTCCATTTAGAAGTTGACCTTGTACACTTGTACTTGTCCACCTTCGTTTACTCCTCCACCTACAAATACAATGATGTTTGCTCCAGGGGGTTTTGTTTTGGTGTTGGTTGTTTTTATTATGCAACGTCTCACTCTGTATCAGAAGACTAACATAGACCCCAATGCAAATCCCAAGCTGGTCCCAAACACATGATCCCCCTGCCTCTGCCTCCTGATTACAGGTATACTCCGTTAGCCTAGGTTACTCTAGACTTTCTTTTTGAGACTGAGTCAATATTAGATTAGTCTGGCCTAAAGCTCACAATATAACCCAGACAGGCCTCAGCTTTCCTGCCTCAGCCTCACAACTGGTAGGTAGGATTACAGGCGTGAGTCACCATGACCCTCTGCTCTAAGTAAGATATTTTAATCAGATCACTCTATTCCAAGTTACTAAGGGACTTCATTGGGTATGGACATTGGATTTTAACAAAAGTTTTTGTACATCTACAGATCATATAATTTTCTCATTTAATCTTCTAATGTGATAAATTATTATGATTCTGGTACTATTTTAACCTTAGGCTGTCTGGCTTCTGTCTTTCAAGACTAGTTTTTCTTACTCTGTAACCCAGGCTGGCTTCAAACTGGAAGCAATTCTGCCCCACACTCCCAAATGCTGAGGTTAGAGGTGTGCGTAAGCCACCATTCCTAGCTAAGAGTATGCTTCTGAGATAAACACATGCTTCTGATGTGTTGTTTTTATGTTACGTGTATGAGTATTATGCCTGCAGGCATGCCTGTGCACCACCTGAATGTCTGGCACTTGAAAAGACCTAAAGAGGGTGGCAGATGCCCCAGGACTGGTGTCACACACGATTGAAGCTACTGCATAGGTTCTCCGGTTCTCTGGATGAGTACCGAGTGTCCTTAACTTCAGAGCCATCTCTCCAGTCTGTGATGCATTACTCTTTTTACATGTTCCTAGATTTAATATTCTACATCTAAGTTCATGAGGAAAAATTAATCTTACTTCTCTCTCTCTCTGTCTTCTTCTTCTCCTCCTCCTTCTCCGTCTTGACAGGGTTTCTCTGTGTAGCCTTGGAGCCTGTCCTGGCACTCGCTCTGTAGACCAGGCTGGCCTCTGACTCACAGAGATCCGTCTGCCTCTGCCTCCCGAGTGCTGGGAGGCTGGGATTCAAGGCGTGTGCCACTAGCGCCCGGCTTACTTTCTCTTTTATTAACAAAATTTGATTTTTGACAATTTCATACATGTATTCTGGTTACTTTCCACCCTATCATCTTTTCGTATTTTCCTACCACCCTTCCTCCTTAGAAAACTCTTTCCCACGTTTACCAGTTTTTGTTTTGTTTAGTGTCCCACTAGTGTTCAACTAGAATCATCTATGTGACCCCAAGCTTAGCAGTTCATATATAACTGGATGCTGTCTATGCCTCCCCATCTCCCAGAATCTGTTAGCTGCAAACAGTTCAGTAGTAAGTGGTAGGACCCTGGGCGCCCCTCCCCCCTCCCTTCCATAGCTGACTATTAGGAGAGCCAGTAGGCATATCTGCTTTGATTTTGATGTCCCCCGAGACTTAAAGGAACAACATAGATGCCTTATTTAGGATGGAGCCCTTGAACACCCATCCTTTAACCTCAGTATCTTGTGTAAGGTCTTCATATTCACCTCTGTTCACTGCCAGGAATGGACTCCTTTTTTTTTTTTTTTTTTTTTTAAGCTGATAGTAGCCTTCGTCTGCAGGTATAAACATACATATTTGGGAGGTGGTTTAATAGCGTGTTAATTTAACTGAGTAGCAGTGTTAGGCTCCCCACTAGCGACTATGAACTCCACAGTCACGTGGAGTTCATGCACAGTGTATGGCAGTAGCTATGGGTTTCCTCTCACACAGCCTTCCCGGAATCTAATTGGGAAGTGGTTGGTTGCTCCTGGCCCACAACAGTCAAGCCACTATTGCATCAGTGGGCACATCTTTCCAGGAAGGTTAGTTCCATAGTTCCTAAGGTTCCCAGCTGTATAAGACTGTTGATGGCTCCTGCCCCAACAGCCTTCATAGCTCACCTTCCAGCTCTGTGAGTGGTAGCCATCAGGGAGGAACCTTTCCAGCTCAGTTCCAACGTGATTTCTCTATAGCATTTATCCTAGGTGTGTGCAATAGCAGCTACCAACTAGTTATGATGGGGAAGCCAGAGAACGGCAAGAACCTTCATTGTTTTGAGAACCTCCCAGACCAACTCCTATGGAGGCTTCCCAATAATGGCAGGGAAAACAGACATAGAAACAAGTTACAGGGTAGCATAATAAGCAATAAACAAAATTCATGAGGGCAAATAGCTTGCACAAAACTTGATCTGAGGCACAGTGTGCCCATCTATAATCCCTACGCGTGGGAGGTGAAAGAAAAAAGATCAGGCGAGTAAGATCAAACATACTCGGCGGCATAATGACCTCTAGGCTAACTCCTGTATTCTTTGTTACTTCCACTTAGCATCTCTACACGAAAATAAAATATTGAAATCCCTTGGGTGCCTTTAATATGGGGGGATGACCTTGACAAGTTTGATTTAGTACCCAGACTGAATCTTTTTTGGATTTATCCCCTGGGTTTATGTTCTTTGCTTCAAGTACCTGATCCAGTTTTATGAAAGCCAGTTGTTTCTTTTCCTTTTCTTCTAGCTCTAGAAAATATCAATTATTCAAGCGTTGGCTACAGTTCCACGCTGGTTTGACGGCCATGAATCGAAGGAGAACTAACTGTAGAGGGGCCTCTCCTACCTCGAAGATAAGTCATCAGCCTCCGAGGCTTCTCATTGTGCATATCGCTGAGCCTTCCTGGGCCGACATCTGCCCCAACCTCTGTGAGGCCTTACAGAACTTTTTCTCCATAGCCTGCAGCTTGATGGGCCCCAGCCGAATGTCTCTGTTCAGCTTATACACAGTACAAAGCCAACATGAGTGTATCCTCCCATTTGTGGTGAGTCTATCTATACTCATGGAGTCCTGAAAGCAAATGAGATTGCCACAGCAGAGCTCACAGCTGTTAGCAGTTAGCAGTAAAAACCACGTTGGCTCCTCGTTGGACGTGTGAACACTTAGAGCCCTTTCTAAATCTCTTCAGAGGTCTGGTTACTCAGGCACTCTCTCTCTCTCTCCCAAACTTGTCCTGGGGTGAAACTCAAGGCCCTAATTTTCTTTGCTCAGAAAAGCCTAACTGGAAAACAAACCGTTTCCCGTGTGCTCCGCTCCGGTGAAACTTTAATTCCTGTCCACCACTTCAGGTTCTAGAGAAGAGTGACCGAGGCAGGGGCCATTATCTTTGCAAAGGTCCCTCACAAGTCTCTACTCTCCTCCTTCCCCTCAGATACAGTTCAAAATGCCAGGGATGGGGAAGTCTCCCTTTTTGAGTCATCCTTGCTGCCAACTCAATGGGCATGTAGTATGTCTTTAAGATAACCAAAGGCAGGAATTTCACACCGTGTAGCTGATTGCGTGCGTAAAATTGAACTAGAATCCACTCATTTTTTTTTAAATTAATGTCTCATTCTCCTGATTGAAAGTGGGAATTAATATTTCTTTTGGTACTGTAAAGTATGGAAATAATACGCATTTGTTCGAGTTTGCTATCTATGGCTGTGATAAAATACCACGATCCTAAACAACTTGGAGGGGTTGATGCAAAAACTATAAGTCTCATCTTGAAAGGGATTAGATGGTTTATTCTGAAGCCGTTTTGAGTGGCCACAGCAAGGGAACACAAATTTTCAGGTTACTGCATATTCCATGTTCCAATGTGGGAGCAGGTTTATGAAGAAATTCATAAATCAGGTCAAGTTTAAAATATAAACTACATTGTTGGATACATCAGCGCTGCAGTTACAGTGAAATGGGGGTGAAATGGAGGAGGCTTTACTAAAGGCCCAAGATGCCATTGGATGGCATTCTTAGTCTGAGCTGGTAAAAGCTAGAGGTCTGCTAAGCTAATAGACACCAGAGGTTTTAACTCTATTAGTCATAAGACGGTGATTCCAACACGGGTAGCCAAGGAGTGGCTCCAAAGGGCTAGAACTAGCCCACCATAGGGTAATTAATTAGCCTTTGGACTTGCAACATTCCAGTCTCTACGTGCGTGGTCCTGAAGTTCTGATCCATCAGTTGGTCTCAGGAGTTCTGGTTCACAGCAGGAAAGGTGTACTGGACTTACATGTTCAGGACACAGTCCGTCCTGAAGGGACGTCAGGGCAGGAATTCGGGAACTGAGGTAGAGGCCATGGAAGATGCTGCTCTCTGTGTCATTCATGGCTTAGACTGCTTCCTTACACAAGCCAGGGCCAGCTGCCTAGGAATGGCACCATCCACAATGGCTTAGGCCCTTCTGTGTCAACCGTTTGTTTGGGTTTCTCAAGACAGGCTTTCTCTGTGTAGTCTGGCTGTCCTGGGACTAGATGTGTAGAACAGGCTGGTCTCAAAGTCACAGCGATCCACCTGCCTCTGCCCCCTCCCCCACACACACCTCTTCCACATTGCATTCATCAGAAACCCAGGCAAAGCCACAGACCCCAGATGGACCTTTTTGCCTAGAAAAACACAAACAAAGCATGTGACAGGATGTTGTGGAGATAGTTCATTAATTAAAGAGCTTGTCTGCATAAGCTTGAGACTTAAGCTAAGTTCAAGGGCCTGAGTTTGATCCCACGCCTCCAAGTATAAAGCTGGATCTGTTGGCTCAAGAAGATTTTATTCAGGGCCATTGCAGGAGGTACAAGGGCCTTGACGGTGGGTTTGGCTGGGTTGAAGAGCCTGAGCTCAGCTAAGTACGGTATGGGTAAGTGGGGCTCCAACATCTAAATCCCCAGCTAGCGCCTCCCACGATACACACCTTTTTAAAGAAGTGTGGGGAGACACGGTGAGTTGTTTCCTATAGGTTGGCCTCCAAGGATACAAAGCCAGAAGAGTAGACAGTGGTCTGGAAAGGTAAACAGAAACTTCTCAGTATCGGGTACTGTGACAGTTTTTCTTCAGGTGCCTTTATCTCCCAGTACAGGTGGCCATTTTTAAATCAATTGATCCCTTAATCACTCCACTAGGAAAGGCAGGCACTTTCATAGTAGAAACCGTGAACTTGTCAGGAATTTAACTAAGCTGGGAAACAGCTGACCTGCCAGGTGCCAAAGGAACCAACACACCCAGGAAAGGGTTAAAGCTCATGGCCTCCTGCAAGCAGATAATTAAGAGTCTAACCTGGGCACACTCTCTGTTGTTGGTGTGCTAGTGGTAAATTTTTGAGTCTCATTTCTTTCGTTTACTCAAATCAGTCTTACTCTGTCAACCAGCCCGGTCTGGGGCTCACTATCTGGCCTAAGCTGGCCTCAGACTCGTGACAGTTCCCCCCACTTACTCTACGGAGCACTGGGATTTCAGGTGTGAGCCTCCACACCCCGCTTTCCCGTTTTCCTCAGAGTGGTTGGCACAGATGAAGCCACAGTCTCACTGTTGGGTGAGCCCCAGACGGCTTTATCAACATGGGATTAGGGAAAGCAGAGGGAAGACTAGCAGCAGCAAAGAACTCAGTCGGGATAAAGAACAGAGTACTCATGTCCCCGACTCCCTCACAAAGGAGTCTTCACAGAAGCACTTGAGAACATAGCCACAGGCCTCAGGGATGTAGGAATGAAGGTGTCTGAGCTAGGCATGCAAATATCCCAAGAACCGGATGTGCCAGGGCAGCCTGAGCCCTTGGCCACATCCTTCGGAGACTGAGGTGAATTGGCTGTACACCAAATCTAGGCTGGAAACTGCCATTTCGCTTCCACTACCCCCCATGAAACCTTCCAGGTAAGGCCTTTTAACTGCCTATATTCAGTCCTGAAAATCAAAGTCACAGTTGAGACTCCTCATGGGCAACTCAGGAAAAATTAAAAGCCAAAATTTCCTTCCTGTAGAACAGTAAATACAATGCTAGTCAGAAACTCAAGAAAACTATAGGAACGAGGCCACCACATGATGTACACAAACAGTCCAGTCTATAAGGAAATCAGGCCCTTAATTCCATTTCCACCGAAACATAGCGACATCTGACATGGCCTTTCTGCAGAGACACCGCAAAACATGAATGCGGTCTGGGGAACAGTATGCAGGACAAAACCAAGATTACCCCTCGTATTTAATTTTTCAGTAACATCAAATAATTCTGAACCTTTTATAAGGAACAATGGCAGAGCATTTATAATTAAAATATTAGACTTCCTTTTATATCCATTGTGACATGAATATAAATAATTCTAACCCAAATGATTAATTTCCCCCTCAAAGGAGGATTCCAGAAGAATGTCCTTACTGTGAAACTCTTCCTAATTCTTTTACATTTTCCAATAAAGAATTTATTGAAATTATTATCGACAATGAGGTATTAGGGTCCAGAATGCTCTAGTTTAGCTATAATGTTTATTTCCTCATCTTTAGTAGCTAACAGTTGATCATGTCAAAGACTGCGCAGATAAAGGCAAGTCCTAAGAAAGATGGTATAGTAGACTCTAACTGAGAGCATCGGGACAGGGAGAATAAGTCAAGGAAATACAGTAATTCTACCACACAGTGAACTAAGTACTGCTAGAGAGACAATGTAAAGGACTCAGATAAGCATGGAGTTATGGAGATAAAAACCAAAACAGGCCCAAATCTTTCTAGTTGTGACAAAAAATTCGAACAGAAGGAAAGGAAACTAAAATACACAATACAGTGATTTTCCAAAGCTGTAAAACACAAAGTGTTGAGGCTGGAGAGATGGCTCACAAGTTAAGATGGCTCTTTCAGAGGACTCAAGTTCCATGCCAGCATCCTTCAGTTCAGGGAATCTAAGGCTCTTTTTAGTTTTGGGGATTTGGGGGGGGGTGTTGCTTGTTTGTTTGCTTGGTTGGTTGGTTTGGTTTGGTTTTTGAAGACAGGGTTTCTTTGTGTAGCCCTGGAACTCACCCTGTAGACCAGTCTGGCCTTGAACTCAGAACTCCAATGGCCTCTGCCTCCTGAAGAGCTAGGATTAAAGGCACGAGCCACCATTACCGAGTTAGGAGGAAAGCCCCTTACTGGCTAGCTTCCCGTTGCTTGTTCAATCTGATTTCTTACAGGGCTCCAAACTACTGGCCCAGCATTGGCACAGAGCATAGCAGGCCAGGCCCCCTTCATCACTGCCCCACAGACAAGCTCACAGACCAATGGAGACAATTCCTTGATTGAGGGTTCTTCCCAGGTGACTCTAGTCTGTGGGTTTGACAGAAGTTGCCCAGCATACTGGGTTGCTAAAGATTTGTGTCTTTGATTCATCTGCAGCAAGTGAGAGGGAATTTTGTGAGGCTGCAGGCCTGCATCTCAGAGCTGCGCATGTTACAAGTAGAAGGTTGTTACAGACCACATCGTACCTTACTGCCGCTGGCTGTAGAGGATGGGCTCCAACAGTTCAAGCAGTTCAGCAGATACATGACCACAGGTGCTGCTCAGCCCTGCAATTCCCTGGAGGTAAGTGATGCTGGTTCTAGGGCATGGAGCCACTTCCCCATTTCCATGGTTCCATCGTCTCTCTCTCTCTCTGTGTGTGTGTGTGTGTGTGTGTGTGTGTGTGTGTGCGTGCGTGTGTGTGTGTGTTGCATACCCAAGACCTGGAGTTACACCCAACCATACAGGTTCCACGATTGTCTCTTCCATCTCTGGGAGCTTCTGTGAACCCTGCTCACTTGATTCTGTGGGCCATTTTCTTGTGGAGTCCTTGACCCCTCTGGCTCCTACAATCCTTCTCCACCCCCCCCCCCTTCTTCAGGCTTCCTCTGGCTTCACCTAGTGTTTGGCTGTGGGTGTCTGCATCTGCTCCTCTCAGCTGCCTGGGGAGGCCTATCTGACGACAGCTGGGCTGGGCACCAATCTGCAAGCATAGCAGAGTACCATTGGGAATCCTTTCATTGGCCTTTGTGTCCGGGTCTATCCTGGGTCTCTGGGCTGTCCTGCTCCTGGATCCTGGCCATGCTGTGGGCGCCCTCTCATGGCACTGGACGAGTCATTGGCTGGCCGCTCCCACAGCTCTGTGCCACGATTACTCCAGCACATCTTGCAGGCAGGACAAACTGCATGTTGGAGGCTTTGTAGCAGGGTTAACAAAGGTCAAAATTGATGCTACTCTGGTGCCAGGCTTAGACAGTCTTTTTTAATTAAAAAAAAATCTTAAATTAGTTATCAGTGTATGTTATGTGGGTACATTTGTGAGTTGGGATTAAAATAGCCCTTAGTTTTGGTGAACTCTGGGTGCAAACAGATGATTGAAAAATAATAGTGAGGAACTTCTCATTTCCAGTTTCACACGTAAAGAAGTTGGAAGTTGCCACTTTGTCCTAACGATTATTAAAATTCCCTGCTTTCAAAAAAACCAACTTGTGTAATAAGAATGTGTAATAAACCAAGCTTGGGAAATCCAATCATCCAGTACGCAATGAAACACTAATGGGTAGAAACTACCCAAAATTCTGTTCCATGCTGAGGGCTGAAACCAAAACAGAAAGAAAAAAGAGGAAATGCTGACACCTTCTGGCCACTCAGCAAAGCTCAACCCAACTCCACTATCCACTACATTCCCACGGATACACCTTTACAGATTTGAACTGGTGCCTTCACCCTCAAATCCCCCGTCAGTTTGCTACAGAAGACATCACAGGGAAAGGAGGAATTCAAGACCCATCCTCTGAAGGGAGAAACCCTGACCAGTGTCACATAACATATGATATAGATTACGGATTGCATAATACATATGGGGGCATTGACTCGGAGCTTTGCACATGCTGGGCTGCACTCTATCTCCCAGCTGTCACCCATTTTGTCATTTACTGTTTCAGACCTTCGGGTTTGTATGAATATCTCTCAGTGGTCTTGTTTGCCCCCCCCCATTGACCCTGATAACATTCCAGACTTCTTCTCTCTGCCTGTTTTTCTCGGTTGCCCCAACAGTGATCCCTGTCCTCTCTCAGCCAGTCTCCTGGTCTCAGTACCTAATAGTTTAGCGCTCACTGTACTATGCTTGTTCCTTTGTATCCCAATAGTTATTGAAGTTAAGTGGATGGCTGTGTTTTAAATATTGTGATGCCTACATAGTGTAATGGCTTCCACAGTCCCCACTCCAAGAGTAAACTATGAACGGAGTTGTGGGTAGTGCCCAACATCCTGGCACATGGACTAAGGGTTTAGCTACTGAATTATATCACTCACAGTTAACTGTGAAGATACGACTCCTCGGTCCTACTAGTCCTACTCGAGCATTGCAAATACTTCAACTGAAAAAAACTACAGCTGGATTTTAAAAATTCCAAACAATGAAATAACCCTAGGTACACAAGTAACATTGGAGAAATCCAAGAGACATGAAGGAATCAAGGCAGTGTGACCCCTCTGAAAAATGCCAATCCCAGTGATGGGTTCAAAGAAAGTGAATTAGATGAAATCCCATACAAAAAAATCCAAAAGAATAATTATAATAATGTGTAATAAACCAGAGAACACACAGACTCTGCTAAATGAAATCAAGGAGCATGCAAATGAGCAACATACCACAGAGATAGTTCACACCAACGCTTATGGCAGCATTATTCACAATAGCTAATTACAGAGTCAGTCTACATGTCTCAGCAGAAGAATAAATGAAGTGTGGTTATATACACAGTGGAATTTTGTTCAACCAGAAAGAATGCATTACGTCGTTAGCAGAAAAAAAATTGATGTAACAAGAGGTTATCAAATTAAGTGACTTTATCCCCTAATGCTGGGATAAAAGACATATCATCCCAGATGCTGAGATCATCTTTGTGTGAGCTGCTTCTCTGTAGGACTGGATCAATCCTGTGTAGATCTGGGTGGCCTTGAACTCACAGAGATCCGTCTGCCTCTTAACCCTGAGTCCTAGGATTAAAGGTGTGCACCACCACCTCCTAGCTTCTGGCTGCTGGGATTAAAGGTGTGTGCCTGGCTTCTATGGCCTGTGGCTGACTTTGCTTTCTGGATTCTCTGGCAAGCTTTAATAAATCATGAATAATACATCACCACAGGATTTGTGGAGGGTTGAGAACTGAACCCAGGTCCTTGAAAGAACAGCCAGTGCTCCTAACTGCTGAGCTGTCTCTCCAGAACTGATATAATGATTGTTTTTTATTATACAAAGATTTTATAGATAAAAATAAATGGCAACAAAGTTAAAATACTCAAATATATGGCACAATACTATAAACACACCCCACAAGATAAACAGTGGCCACTTTACCTCAGCAAAATCGTATTATTTGTAATATAAATGTACTGTTTATTGAAATTTACTACATCTGAAGTTTACTTATATTTAATTTAAATTGGATTTCAATTCAACATGATAAGAACAAAAGCCATATAGAATTCATGTTTTGCTTCATGGTATACTATTTAAGTAAAGTGCTACCAAAAGCAATTTCTGAACACTAGGAGTCCATGAGGTAATTTTCTCCTTTATTTATTTAAATTTAAGATAGATGACACACTATAGCTGTTCACAAAGTATTCTTTGTAATTGTCCTCGGCACTAAGAAGATAGGTGGTGACTTCTGTCCAAAAACAACCTTGAGGGGACAGTGGGCTATTTTGAAGCTTCTGAGCCAGGGAGCCTCAGACACCACGCGTAGGGCCCAAGATGTGAAATTAGGAGAGTTCTGCTGTCTCAGGATGACGACATGGAGGAAGCTATGCCTCATGAAGCTATGCACAAATGTTGAGCTCCTTCCATGCCGGGCAGCACCTTTGGGACAATTCTGTTATCTGCTTGCCAAATGAGGAAAAGGGTTCAGAAAATAGCAGACCTCCCCATCGTCTTCCTAGCTACAGAAATGACCATTCCCACCACAGCTTAGCTTCTGAAAGCCACCAGTGAGCTCCGAGAGGAGGCCCAGGACAGATTCCCTGCCAGGACCCTCAGTGTAAAACTGTTGAAACTATAAGAGAAAAATTACGGGAAACACCTCAGGATTGAGGCATACACAATGAGTCTCTCAATAGGATTCCAATAATTCAAGCAATCGGACAAAGAATTGCTAAATGGGTTGCATTAAACGTAAAAGCTTTGGCTCTACAAAAGAAACAAGAAGGGTGGAGTTGGCACATCCATTTAACCCCAGCACTAAAGAGGCAAAGGCAGGTGGATCTCCGTGAGCTCCAGGCCAGCCTGGTTTATAGAGTAATTTCCAGGACAACCAAGACAACTAAAGAGAAACTCTGCCTTGCAAAGAAAGAACATAGAGAGTAAAGACAAAATCAGAGAAAACCCTTTCTATTTATCAGACAGGCAGTGAATATCCAGAATATATAAAGAACTTGAGCTGGAAACATGGCTAAATGGTAAAGAGCTCTGGCTGCGCTTCCAGGGAACTGGAGGTTGATTCCCAGCGCCCACATGGTGGCTCATAAGTGATCCGACACCCTTTTCAAGCCTCTGAGGGTTCCAGACACAAAAGTGACACATAAACATGCATGCAGGCAAAACACTCATATACATAAAATAAAGTAATACTGATTTTGAATTGAAAAAAATCATACATAGAAATTTCAAACATGAACCTTTTTAAAATATTAAATGTATCTATACACATATAATTAATTTATTTATTAATTTATTTTAAATACAAGTAATCCAAGCAATAAGCAAATGAGCTGAAAAGACACTTTTCATGAAGGAGTGAGGCTAAAGACCTTAAGAGATGACTCACCAAAACAAAAACAAAAAACATACAAGTAGCAAGTGGGCATATGAAGAGATGATCCGCATGGTATGTCATCACAAATATACAAAGTAAGACAGAAGGAGGCACCACTACCTATAACATGAGTTCTCGTAGGTCTAAATAATAGCAAAATGTACTGTAATCTGAACTGCATCTACTCCTGCTAATTGACAAAGTCTCAATTTTCCTTTTAGAACCAACTCAGAGATCTTTTCCACAAAAGTTTTTAATTTTTTACTCAGCATGTGTGGTAAAAAGATCCATTCTATGATAATAATATCTTCCCTCTGCATTAAAATTCCTATGGGGGTGCTTGGAGGGTGATAGGATAGAATGCAGTTAGGCTTCAGGCCCACATGGTCCACGGGATCCACATGTGCAATCTGTAATTTCCCTTCCACCAAAGCCAATTCTCTCTCAGTTTCGACTGTTAATTTGCTGGGACTCAGGCGGGAGTCCCACCTCTAGCTCAGGCCTGGGCCTGGGCCAGTGCCCTCCAAGTGACTTTTTCATGAATTTGTATCTTAATGGTCTGTGCCAATCTGTCACACAAGTTCTAATAGGTCTTAATAATAAAAGCCTGGAGTCAGATATGGGGGGAAATGTTGAGCGATCAGAGAGATGAAGGAGCAAGTCATAGCCACCGTTACCTTCCAAGCTTCCCAGCAGGAAAGAGAGTGAGTCTCTGTTTCCTCCTGCCTATATTCCTTTCTCTGCCTGGCCATCGTTCTTTCTGTCTGTCCGAACAGACCTGCAGACCTCTACCGTTAGCTGGTGGCAAGCTCCGCCTTCTCATCTTCAGGCACTCTTTATTTGTACAAACAAGATACCACCACAACTGCCCTCCTATCAAAAGAGGCACGGTCCAGAGCACAAGTCACACCAAATGCCCACAGGGATGTAAAACCAAAACTTCCATCTGGTGCCAGCAAGAAGACAATCGGATGTTTCTGCGAAGATTAACTTTGTCAACTTGACAGGATCTGGAACCACTTAAGGGACAACCCTCTAGTCATGTCTGAGAGTTTCCCGACTGGATTAACCGAGAGGAGAAGTCCCCCTAGTGTGGGTGGCACCATTCCATAAACCCAGGCCCGGGACTAGATGAAAAGCAGAGAGCAAGCCGAGCCACGGCAGCCTTCATGGCTCCTCTTCCTGGCTGCGATCGCAGTGTAGCTGGGCACCCCGTTCCCCTGTCTCCATGCCCTCTCCTCTGTGATAGGCTGCGTCCCTTTGAACTGTAAAACAGATCAAATCCTTCCCCTTGTCAGATACGTGCCCTCAGCAATGAGAAAAGTAACTAACGTGGTTTCTTACAAAATGAAACCGAAATTCTACCACACAATCCAACGCTTAGGGCTTTGGTATCTACCCCAAGGAGTTAAAGGTTGTGCCTACACACCAAGATGGTTATAATGAAGCTTCGCTTATACTTTCCAATCTTGGGAGCAACACGGTGTCTTTTGTTTTAAGGATTTTGATTTCTTCTTTTTGGAGACTTTTATGTATGCACTCAATGTATTTTGATGCAATCCACCCCCATGCCCTCCCCTCCAACACCCTCCCAATCCCAATCCCACTTTTGCCTCCTAATTTATTTGCTCTTTTTTTAAGCCCACACTCATCTAGTGCTACCTGTATATGTAAGGATGTAGGGCCATCTACTGGAGCATGGGCAGCCTCTTGGGAGCCAGAAGAAAACTGACTCTCCCTCTCCCAGCAGCCATCAATTATTAACAGCTGGAGGGGGGACTTCACGAGCCACCCCCCTAGCCATGCTGGAATTTTGGTGGCTTGTGTGTGTGTGTGTGTGTGTGTGTGCAGACCTTGTGCATGTAGTCACAGCCACTGAAACACGATGCCTCTCAGTAGCTTAAAGGATAATACCTGGTGGTCCATCCCAACAGTGGAATACTATCCAGCACCTAAACTAAATGAACTATCAAGTTCCAAAAAGGCACGGAAAAGCTTTAAATACACATAACTAAATAAAAGAAGGCAATGAAAAGACTACATTACTTGTTCTACATACACAGGACCCCGGAAAAGGCAAAATTATGGAGACAGTAAAAAAGGTGACTGATGAGCTAAGAGGAGAGTATGTGCCTAGCAAAGACAAGGCCCTGGGTTCAATCCCCAGTGCTGGAATTAAAAACTAGAGTGTAGGGAGAGGGATGGGAAATATCAAAGAGGGAAAACACACGGTATAAAAGCATCGTTAGAGGTTTGTGCGAACTCATAGATGTACTGCAATAAGAGTCTGTCCAAATGAAAACTTCAAGTTGTTATGATTATTTTAATTTACAAGAGTCACTTGTAATAAGGGCAAGGCTATGCATTTGTGGAGGTAATGGGTAAACATCATTGTCCCCCTCTTCTCAATGTTACTATACCTAAAACCATTCTACAACAGTAAAGCCTTCAGAAATCATACTAGGATTGTACTTTCATTCACATCCCTTGGTTATGTTAACTCTTTCCTGCCAGCCTGGGCCACTGCCATGTCATCCCCAAATGAACACTCAGAGACTTATATTAATTATAATACTGTTGGCCAATGACTAGGGCTTCTTATTAGCTAGCGCTATCTTAATTATTAGCCCATGACTATTAATCTTTGGATTTCCACCTGATCTTATCTTACTGGGGTGTGACAGACCTGCACCCCCTTTGCCTGCTACGTGAGGACTGCTCAGCGTCTCCATCGAGAAGAGAACGATTTCCTGTTTGTCCCTGCTTAAGGCCTGATTCTGCCCAGCTACGTCCCTTCCTGCCTGACAAATCAGCCAATCGGTGTTTTATTCATTAACCAATAAAAGGAACATGTACAGAAGACATCCCCATCTTCCCTCTTTGCTAATTAAAACATTTACATACAAAATAACTGCATATACAATTGCCTTCCAGAGTCTCAAAATTCAGGGCAAAACTGATCATTGAAAACATCCATTTTGATGACACAGAAGATCCTAATTATACACAAATGCCTTAGTATTTCTTCAGGCCCATCATACTGGTCAAGGGTTAAGTACATTTAGAGTCAAAAGAATCCGTGCCTCTGGATCTGTGCTGAGAAAACAGAGAAACCATCTGAGAATGTGATACATCCCAGCACACACAGCTGGGGGAGGAACAATGAACAGGCTCTCTAAGATCGAGTACACGCACACGGAGTGAGACCTCAGTACCACACTCACGTAACGCACGCACACGGAGTGAGACCTCAGCACCACACTCATGTAACACATGCACACGGAGTGAGACCTCAGTACCACACTCATGTAACACACGCACACGGAGTGAGACCTCAGTACCACACTCATGTAACACATGCACACGGAGTGAGACCTCAGTACCACACTCATGTAACACACGCACACGGAGTGAGACCTCAGTACCACACTCACGTAACACACGCACACAGAGTGAGACCTCAGTACCACACTCATGTAACACACACGGACCTCAGTTTTCCTTTAGAAGCAAAATATTTTGAGCAGAGAAAACGCTACCAATGTTTAATTTTCTTTTTAACCAAGGATGAATAAGAAAAAAACCAGACCACAAGTGTGGCTTCTCCCTGGTCACTGTTGGCACCGTCTAAGAGCTGTCCAGGGTTACAGATTTGTGATGATTATCTGTCCCATCAGAATCTGTCACGAGAAACTTGATTTGTATCACTTCATAACATGCTGACTGAGGTCAACTGAGTTTTTATTTCTAATTTATATTTAAGCCTCTCTCTCTCTCTTTGTACTAAACACAACAGCTATTACCATAGACTTAAAAAATGTGTCTTTCAGAATAGCTTGTGTGTTCCTCCCTATGGCTATCAAGAAGAGCAGGCATATTCATTATTTTCATGCATTTCACTTTAGATTACTGTCCTGACTTCTCAGCCTGGGAAAGAAGTGATCAGACAGCTGGAAGAAGGGCTGAAAGATATAAACCTACTCAGTGTCAGAAGGCTGCAGGTGGTCGAGGTCACAAAAGACCCCCAGGAACAGACAGACTCACCAACTCCCACCGCAGAATCCAACAATGACGGTGAGGGGTTTGCTTTTTGCTGTTTCACATGCTGGTTTTGTCCTGGCAATCTTCCTGCCTCAAATGCTTTACCCTGGGGCTGGAGAGATAGCTCAGCGCTTGAGATCACTTGTTGCTCTTATAGAGGATTCGGGTTTAGTTCCCAACACCCACGTGTGGCTTGCAACTATCTGTAACTCCAGTTCTTGAGGATCCCGTGATCTTGTCTAGCCTTAGTGGTCACTGGTGGTATGCACATGATACACATGTAGGTAAATCATCCATATAAAACAAAAGATAAAATAAAGAAACCAATTATTTTTTAAAGGAAAAAAAGTGGGCATGATAGCCCGTACCTGTAATTGAAGCATTTGGGAAATGGAGGCAGGTAGGATTAGAACAGATACTACATAGCAGTTTGAGGCCAGCTTAGGCTACATGTGACTGGAGAGGAAAGAGAGAGAAATTTTCAGATTTTGTGACATAAAGCACTTAGAACAGGGCCTGCCACAGATAAATGCCATGTGCTAATATTGATGGTGGGATAATAAAAGCATTTGCTTCTTAGCATGCCTGTTACTCAGCAAACTTCAAACACTAGTGACTCATTATTTCACTAAAATTAAGACATGGCCATTAAAATACTTCTCAGCGTAGAAGCCTCTCCTAATCACACGCCCTATTACAGTACTTCCATTTTTGTACGTTGTCCCCGTCACATTTATGCTGCATAGGTGGAACCTGCTTGCGTAATTTTTTGCTTTTATCCAACATAATGTAAAACCTTTACACAGTTCCCATGGCCCTTCTCTGCCTTTTGTCTAGTTTTCCTTCCTCTCTCACTCCTAAAAGAAAAACGAGAAAGTGTTTGACCACGAAGCATACAAACTCCCACAGGGAAACCAGTGTGTTTTCTCCCATCACGCGTGAGCCAACCCTGTATTGACAGCAGATTCCTAATGACCTTAATCAGCCTAGGGTCTAGGAAATTCTGCTAATTCTAGCGTCCAAGGTCGGCCTTGCAGAAGAGCCATACATCATGCTGCTATCTTCTTTTGGGATGTTTTTGTGTCGTTTCGTTTTTGTTATTAGTATGTGTATTTGCACATACGTGTTTGTGCATGTGGGAGTTGAAGGACAATTGGGAAGTTCCTCTTGAGCTTTCCACCTTGTCTCAAAGCAGGGTGTCGCTGGTCTCTGCTGTTCTGTGTACTCCGGAATAACTGGTGTGCAAGCTTCCAGATGATTCTTTCGTGGCTGCCTCCTAAGCCTGCTGGGCTTACAGGTGCATGCCACATGTTTCTGTGGGTCCCAGGGATCAAACTCAGGTTGCTGGGTCTGAGTGGCAAGTGCTTTTTGCCCATTGAGCTGTTGTACCCCAGAAGTGAAGTCTTTTTAATATTTTTCCTCTTGTTTCCCTATCTGCTGCAGCGCTGGGGATTAAATTCAGTCCCTTGCACCAACACAAGCATTCTACCTCTGGGCTCAATCCCTAGCTCCTTAGAAATAAGAGAAAACTCAGCAGTTGCGAGTGTGTAGTGTGAATGAAAATGGTCTCTCGCAGGCTCATATACTTGGAAGCTTTGTCCCCAGTTGATGAACTGTTGGGAAGGATTGGGAGGTATGGCCTTGGTGGAGGAGGTGTGTCACTAGAAGCAGGCTTTGAGGCTTCAAAAGCCAAGGTCAGGCCTAGCCTGCTTGTCTGTCTGTCTGTCTGTCCGTCTGTCTGTCTCCCCCCCCCCCTTCCCTCTCTCCCTATCCCTCTCTCTACCTGCTTCCTATGTGTCAGCATGTAAAGCTCATAGCTATGCTCCAGTGCTATGCCTGGACTAACCCTCAGACACTGTAAGCAAGTCCTCAATTAAATGTTTTCCTTATAAGAGTTTCCTAGGCCGCGGTGTCTCTTCACAGCAATAAAGCAGTAACTAAGACGGTTGCCTATCACTCAGAGGGGCAGCTCACATCCACCTTTAAATACAGCTCCAGGAGATCCAAGATCTTCTTCTTGCTTCCTCGGGCACCCACATGCACATGGCATCCATTCATACAGACACATATGCATAATAACTTTTTTCAAAAAAGAAAGAAATACCAACAGGGATGCATACTATGGTACTTCTTGGGAGTACCTAAAGCTTCATTGGTGTACCTTAAAGAAGTTAGAGTTGGAACATGATGGTGGATAAAACATTCATTATCGTTACAGTTCAGATCTCCCCAAACTGACCTACTAGTGTGATTCCATTGGAAGTCCTATCAGATTTTTTTTTTTTATTGATTTTGTTCTAACTTGGTTTGGTTATTTTGTTTTTTGAAACAGGGTCCCATCATGTAGTTCTAGTTACCCAGGCTTCCCTGGAAAAATAAGATTTTCCTATTTCAGTCTCATAAATGCTGAGATTACAGCTGTGTGTCACCACACCCAGCTCCCTTTTTTGTTGTTGTTGCTAATCTGATGAGCTAATCCTATGGGAAGTGTGTGTGCACACACTCATGTGCGTGCATGAATTCGAGCTAAGGATGTGCCATGCCAGGTGTAAGGATGATTCGCAAAGTTGTTAAATAAGACACTACCCTTTGCATCACGTGCATGGTGCTCTGGCTGTTACACCCAGTACTGCCAATAAACAAACAAACAAACAAATAAAATACTAGATCGCATCATACTGACGCAGGGATAATTTCTTCTGTCTGAAGCACATTATTGAGCCAAGAAGTAGAAAGTCACATGAAAACTTGATATGCACTGTGGCTGCCATGGAAAAACAATGAAAAAAAGATTAATGTAGTTGTTAAGTCATTCTAGAACTATCAGCATTCCTTACAGGGAAAGGGAGAATTAGATCCCTACTTTACAGAATGTATAACATGTTAAATGGATTGAAAACCTAAACATGAAAGATAAAAACTTCTAGAAGGAACTACATAAGAGAAAATGGTATGATGATCGGTAAGAAGAAGGAAGTGTTTACCAAATGAGATGCAAAGTCTGCTAATGGTGGGAGACAAAATAATCGTCACTATACTAAAGATCAGAATTTCTGTTTGTCAGAAGATGCACGAAAAAAGTGGTCAGAAGAAAAACAGAGCTACAGCTCTAACCCACATAACCAGTAAAAAGTCGCTATCTGGAGTACAGAATTTGAGACGTCATCATAAAGCAGAGCATGCAGAGAATGAACCTCAGCTATGTAGAACAATGTGAATGAATCTTTGGTACTGAGGAGAGGGAGCCCAAGTAACTAAAGGACTACAGGAGATGTCACTTCTTTACAAAGCTCAGGGAAATTAAATAACAGCTTAGAGTAGCAAGCTACTTTTTAACCATAAGGAAGTTCAGTGTGGCAAGTCTTCATCTGAAGATCAGAGAGCAGCACACAGATGTATCCCTGCTATTAATGGCATTCTACTTCTCAAGTTAAACAAAAGAATTCACGACTGTCCAATTACTGTTGAGCTTTTGGAGCTTGCATGAGCACACATAGTATGTCTTCATTTGCATATAATAAACTTTTTATAATAGCCTTCCAAAGAGTGGGTAAGCAATAAATATGCCAAAACTAAAAAGACCACAGTGATCAATATCCTTTGGCATCTAGACAGCATCTGTCCAGGTTGACAACCGCCTGCACTGATTGGGTATATAAGTCTTGAACCAGTTACAAATCAACTTAACGAGGCTGCCAACGAGCCTACATTTCTCAGCCACGTACACAAGCATATCAGGTTCCTTTGCTAAGTGCTCACAAGCCATCTGTTTAAAATTTCCTCCTAGAGTTTACCAGGGATCGATGTCAAGCTCCCTTGGAAAGGTACTCTAGCCATATGTGTTCTCAGGAAACACCAAATGTTAACAATCCAAACAAAGAAGATAAAGATTCATTGCTTCTTAAAAGAAGATTCCAGAAAGACCTAGCCAGGGACTAGGCATCCCCTTCTGTACTTCAAACAGTTGTCAGGCTCCAGCGCCCTAGAGAGTAGACCAAAATGAGCAGCTGCTCATCGAGTTTGTCTTTGATAACTGCATTAAAGTCATTTTCTTGTGGCATTAAGACTAAATTAGAAGCTCTGTTGTGTTTGCAACCTAAAGATTTTTAACACAGACAGACATTTGTTTTATTAACAGAAGTCTCAGAAAAAAAAAAAAAACAGCAACCTCCCTTTTGTAATTAAAGTAATAGGAATTTAGCAGAATATCTGAAGTTATTTTAAAATGAGATTTTTGAAAGTTTGTTCTTGCCAGTTTGAGGAACAATCTACCTACCAGAAGTTACATCCTCTCAACACATACCGCTCAATGAGTTTTCATAGTAGTATACACTTACAAATCATCACCTCAGACAAGGTGCATAGATCCTTCTGTGTATTATTAATACACATTGCAAATAAAACTTAGAGGTATCAGAATGAATATAAAGACATGTTTTATACAACAAATGTATTTTATTTATTTATCTTGATTATTTTATTATCTACAGTATATATTTATTTAAAGATAAACCCCCCCTCAAAGGCAGGAAAGCAGGAGGAAAAAAAGACCAACAAAAACAGAGTTAACAAACAAAAACTAAAATGGTAGACCTAAAACCAGCCATATACATATGGGTCTATCTTTAAACATTTTTTTTTTAATTTGGTGCTAGAGAGATGGCTAAGCAGTTAAGAGCTCTTGCGGCTCTTCCAAAGGACCCAGGTTCCCAACCACCTGGGGTGGTAACAGCCCCTTCTTGCCTCCAAATATGCGCCACCTGAATATATGTAGTACACACAAAGACATACACAAATAAACATAAATATTTTTAGTTTAGCTGGGTGTGGTGGTGCATGCCTTTAATCCCAGCACTCAAGAGGCAGAGGGAGGCAGATTTCTGTGAGATCAAAGTCAACCTGGTTTTACATAGTGCATTCTAGGCCATCCAGGGCTATATAATGAGACCCTGTCCTCCCCCCCAAAAAAAAAAACAGAAAAAGCATTTTAATTCTATTTTATCTATTGTAATTTAGAGATTGATCTTCAAATT